TAGCTGGCCAGAGCCAGGTTCGAACCCTCCACCCTCGGTATATGGGGCCAGCACCCTACCCACTGAGCCATAGGCGCTGCCCAAATCTTTAGCATTCTTTTTACTCTGTGAAACAGAATGTTCCTTCCACACTTAGATTTTCTTCCCTGCTTACACATCAGAGCAGCCTCAACTATCTTCCATTTTTACAGGACTTTGGAGGTCTTTAAGCTTTTCCTGGAGTATTTCCTATTTTAAGCACTTTCACCCCTATTAATTCTGTAAAGTAGGGATCATCTTCGTTTACTAGACAAAGAAGGTCCAGCTGCCTGTCACTATCAGCCAATGTGCAGAGATGGGGATAGGTCCACCAAAATTTGTCAGGAGGTCAGCAATTCTGGAGAACAGTGCGAATAGCCTCTCCAAGACTGTTCTGTTCTTCCATTTCCAAAACCACAGTTTTATATGTGAAAGTTCAAAGCAAAAACCATGTTAACCCTTACCTTAAACAACAATCATCAGCATAACCCATGACCCATAATAAACAATAATCTGCCTAACCCATGACCCAAACCAACATTCAAATTCAAAAGTTAATCTCCTAAATCACTTGCCCCAAATGACTCAAGGTATATGCTTTTGGGTTAAAGCTGAGTTTACAAAACAGCAGGAATGGGAGACATAAGGTGAAGGTCACACAGGACCCAAGTCAGGCCAGCTGTGTCCTCGCAGGCCTAGCCTGACTGACTCCATCTTATTCCCACTACGAGCACTCTCACCTACTCAGGTAACAAGACCAGCAGTCGAGCAAAGTAGAGGTTCAAGTCCAATTTGTGACTACAGTGCACATCTAGGGATTGTAAAGATGCACGTGGAGAATAGCTTTCCTCCCCACCCATCTTCTCTTTCCTCCTCCTCCTCTTCTTAATTATCATCAGACTTCCAACACATACTGTTTGGGGGCCACACAGGCAAGTGAGATATCCAGAAAACCAAAGTGCAGGTGCAAGCAGGCTGGCTGTGCTGGAGTAGGCACGACAGTCTGAAAGATTCCTGCCTCGGAACAGGGTTCCTTTCCCCCATAACTTACAACAACACCTAACAAAGAAAGTTTTGCTTGCAAAAGGAAGATCCTTTAGCTTGGAATGTGGGGAGCAATGACTTTTGAAAATGATAAAAAGTACTTGCAGCCTTCTCTAAACTAAAGGTAGTCGAGTTCACTCTCCTGAAGGAGTAATGTGTGCATTAGTTACAATTAACCAAGACCTTGATTGGTACGAAATCACAAATAACACTTGAGCTTGTGGAAAATGTCTTTGTTTTCTTTTTAGCATCAAAGAATATTAAATCTAAATCACCCCCCCCCCCCAGGCATGTGGTTTTCAATCCTATGCTTACATATCTCCTGAGAAAGAAATTCCATAAATTCTCTCTGCAACTAACCAGTCCTCATAATCAGCAAGTTCTTTTCTATCTGACCTAAATCCCTATTCCTGCCATTTAAACTCATTTCCTCATGTTCTGCCTTCAAGGGAGAGAAAGAACAGCTATCTGGCCCTCTTTGTAGTAATCCTCAAGGGCAGTATTTGCAAACAGTCTCCTCTGGGCCAAATAATTGAGATTCCGCTCACCTTTCCTTTAAACTCTTCTGCTTAAAGCCTCTCCATGTTATTCACGTCTGTCTCAGATAGTATCTTCCCCAGGACCTGCCTTGGTGAAAGACTTGGAGATAAGAATCTAGTTGTAAAGGAAAGGCCAATGAGGTGGCAGAAAATCAGATTTGGACAACTCCGTGCTAACCTAGCCTAAAGAAACCAAAGAGATTCTCCCTTAAGAAGTGTGTCTTGCCCTTTCTCCATTTTCTTTCTACCCCACCCCCCACCCCGGTGGTGCCCAGCCTGGAGTGCAGTGGCTATTCACCGTTAGGTAATAGCTCACTACAGCCTTGACCCCCTGGTCCCAAGCAATCCTCCTGTCTTAGACTCCTGAGTAGCTGGGACTATAAGCAACCACACCTGGCTTTGTTCTTCTGTTTCTTAGAGCATTTCTGGCAAGATCTAGACTCAGCACAGGCTCTTATTTGAGAAGGGTTAAGCCTTGATGTCCTTATCCTCCACTTTCCCCCCTCCTCCCCCAGATTACTCCAGGTACCAAATGCCTCTTTCCCCTGTTTACTCTCCCTCCTCCCCAAATCTCTCTTCATTCAGTGTGGTTTGAGAGTTTAGGAGCAAAGCATGAGGACTGAATGCATTTCCTCTGATGGTCAAGTTTGGTATTTCTGAGCAGGGACCCTTCCTGAAACTTCTCACATTGGTTGACTGGGCCTTCTCTTAGCCAAGAGGTCCGCTTTGCCCATCCCGTCCAGAAGTAGTTTGGTTGTATTTAGTAACCTAAGAGATATCTTAGAGAAAGTTGGTGCTCCAAGTAATCCGAGGTCACGGCCACAGGGAGCAGCAGGCTGAAGGACCCATCTCTGAAAACCTGGGGGAATGTTGGCCCTTTAAACAGAAATACCTTCACATTAAACTTTCTGCCTTATGGTGAATTTTTCAATAGTGTCAATTCCATCAGACAATGAAAAAGCTTTTTCATAATTTTGTCAAAAGGTAAAAGTTGTATAAAATTTGGTTACATTGAGAAGTCTTGAGTCTCACCCATGAAAATAGCCACAAAGATAGAAGGGATAGTGTGAAGAAGGGATTGGTCATATTTCCCAGCAGACTCTCAGGCAAAGATTCTCTTTGGCATATTATTAGATCAAAATCAGTATAAAGTATTAGGTTAACTTGACTTGTCCACATTGGTGAAATGCCTCCTGCCATCTTGAGTATAGAGAACTCCTTTGCTTTGTCTTGGGGTTTTATTTTGAACAATGTTTTCCATTACTAGGACAAGAGTTTTCAAAACTAGGGAAGTTGAAGGACCTTTATGATGGGTACTGATTAAAATATACTGACATGGCAACAAATTATATTTGGCAAACAGACATCAGAAAGCAAATAGTCAGGCTTCCTGGGCAGGGCATAGTACTGGGCAGTTTTCCTGATCGTGAATAATCAAGCACACATCAAATTCTGGGGGAGCCAAACTTGTTCACTGTCGCTAGAACAGGCAAAGCCATCTTGGAGTGGGTGCTGTCAGGCTAAGCATCAGAAACCCAGATCAGCCAAAAAAATAAAATAAAATAAAATAAGGGAGAGGGAGTTGGGTGGCCTCCTGTTTGTCTGAGTTATCCATTATTTAAATGGGAAATGATCTGTTTTAAATGTTGGCCTGTATAGCCACAGTGGTCTCTCTACTTGACGGCACAAGGATCTAGCTGTGTGTGCACCAACAATGTGGGCGGTAGGGGACTGAATTCTCAAAGTACATGTAGAGTTGTCCAGGTCTCTGGAGGTGGTTTTTTGTTTTGTTTTGTTTGGGTTTTTATTTGATTGGCTTTTATGTCAGAAGACCTTTGATTCCTTTCTAGAAATAAAGTGCCCACACTTGGGAAAGTAAATTTTGGATGGCAAGTTATGACCAATTCTCCACTCTTACATATACACATGAAGTGTAGGAGGCAATGCTGGGGAGGGTCCAAAATATAGATTTCCAAAAAGAAAGAGTAAAGCGTCAAAGTATAGTATTTCTCTGCTTCTCAGGATTATTGACCCCTGCCCCCTCTCCATCCCACCAAGCCCAGAGGAAAAGATAATTAGAGGAAATAGAGCAAGGGCCAGATACACAGGGAGCACACAAATGCTCCAGGGTTGATGCAGAGTGTGTGTAGCTGTGTGGTTGCTGAGATAGGTGACAGGGAGAGGCATAACCAGACCCAGGGGCATGAGCCAGCTCTAAATTTTGCAGAGCTGTTTTTTTGGCAGAGGCTTTTGAGGGGCCCCAGAAAGGGAATGGAAGTAAAGGGGTGAGTTCCCATACTTGGAGGGCAGAGCCTTTGAGCAAAGGTTTTGTTTTATTTAATGAAGCAGCCGGGAGGGTTGCTTATCTCCGGCTGATAGATGTGTATTTCAGCATGACAGGAAAGAGGAGGCTTGTTCATAAACAGACCTGGCCCTCTGGGGCTTCCCACATTGAAGGGGTGGGGGGACTGCTTACAAGGAGTTTATGAAGTTTCTGCTGCAGCTGTTCAAAGAAAATGCAGTATTTTTTATCAGACAGCCCTGATCACTTTTCCCTACCTAGAGCCATTTTTGGAGGGTTGCACTGAGGCCAGTTTTGCTGAAAAGAAAACTAACTCTAGGGCTTTTGGAACCGCTAAATGCAAACCATGTGTGTGACCCAAGGTTTCCTCCCTCTCCAAAGCACTGTGCGTTTGGCACGAAGGGTGGGTCTAGTAAAATGCAGTGGGGTATGGAAGAAAAGTGGGATGCTTCACTCGTTAGGAGACCCTCAGGCTGCACCGGAAGGACGGCTATTGGCTGGCAGCTGCGTCCCCACGTGCAGACAGCCAAACCCCTTCCCCAAAAGGTTTCACTGATGCTGGCCCCCTCCCACCCCCATTTCTCAGTTAGGTTATTTGCTTGGCACATGAGGCTCTCTCTGCTGTAGCTAGGACAAAATCTAGTCTTCAGCCCTACTTCTAACAAGTACGTTCAGAAAAAGGCCCCCAAACTGCCAAGGTCCTCTTACTACATTTTGAAAGTCTCGCCCTCCAAACCGCACCCTCCAATATCTTGACGAGAGAAGGTGGATGGTGTTTCCTGAATACAGGTGCTGCTCAGTTGGCTCACAAAGCCCAGGTGGCCCTGAAATCCAGGGAGTTTGTCATCAGCTGTCGAAGGTCTTTGCCACTCTGCCTGTCAGTCTGCTGGAAAGCTGTTCTCATGTTCCCGTGCAGGAGGTTCTACAAACAAAACAACAGAAAAACCTTACAGTATAAGGTCTTCCATCTAGTCACTTCTGCCCGTGGTTGAGGAAAACATCAGATAAAATGGCAAAAGCAGGAGAAATGTTCTTTGGGGGAATGCACAGAAATAACTGGTGTCTTCTTTTACCCTTTTTTTTTTAATTAACTGCAGGGGAGACAGCAGGAAGGCAGCAAGTCCCCACCTCCCCACCGGCCTCAGAAAACAGCAGCGCAGCCCACAGCATCGGCAGCACCCAGAGCACGCCTTGCTCCAGCAGCAGCACCGCCTAACCCAGCCCAGCCACTGCCAAGGGCAGGGCCTGATGGCTGAGCCTCCAGGCTCAGGAGGCTGGATTTCGGTCCCCTTGTAAACAGAGACTGAACGTCAGTGTAAAGACCACCCGTTGTATCCACCCCCTACCCAGGGCTAATGTATTATAGAATCCACGTGAGAAAGCTAAGGTGGTGGCCTTCTCCACCAACCCTCACAGGCCTGGGGGTTTTCAATGTGAAACACGTGCCAGTTTTTAAAATGCTGCTTTGCCCAGGTGAGAACATCCATAATTTGGGGCTCTGAGTTTTACCTAGACTCAAGGAGCTGGTAAAAGGATAGATAGTAGAACCAGTGAGGAGATGTAGCCAAAGATTCTTTTATAACTGAACCAAGATGAAAAACAAAAAAAATGCTTTAAGGCTCTGTAAATGTTCCTCTACGTCTAACACTCACCTTCCGCCAGAGAGGCACACCCCTGGCCCTGCTGCCATACCCAGTGGGGTCTCACTTGCTGAGTGCTGCCCTGGGGTCTGCATCCTGACTTGCATGGAAGCAACATTCCTTTTTTAGAGCCCTGGGCCCAAACCAATTCTGGTTACCTTAGCAGCTTCCTGTTTATTCCGCTACTCCCACGCACCAACTGCAAAAAAACGTTTCCCTGCAAATTTTGTACTATTTATAGGCATATAGAAATTGAAAAGAGTCAAAATCTGGCAGCACAGATTTATGCCCATTCCTGACATTTTGTTCTGAAAAATTGATGGATCAATTGAGGCAAAATCCCATTGTAAAATCAGGGAGGAATTTGCCCAGTGATATATTTGTGTGTGTATGTGTAAGTACAAATATGTAACACGTCATCTGGCACATTCGATTTCTCAGTTGAAGAAGAGAAAATTCATTCCCCTTTTGAAAATGTTCTGTTTTCAGAGTTGCAACTCTTTTTTTTTTTTTTTTTGAGACAGTCTCGATTGGTCGCCCTTGGTAGAGTGCTGTGGCATCATAGCTCACAGCAACCTCAAACTCTTGGGCTCAAGTGATTCTCTTGCCTCAGCCTCCCAAGTAGCTGGGGCTGCAAGTACCTGCCACAGTGCCAAGCTAGACGGGTCTCACTCTCACTCAGGCTGGTCTAGAACTTCTCGGCTCAGGTGATCTACCTGCCTCAGCCTCCCAGAGTGCTATGATTAAAGGCATGAGCCACCACACCTGGCTCAGAGTTGCAACTCTTATTCTTAAGTATATTGGGAAGATGAATGTTTCTACTTAAAACATGTTGATCTTCTTAATAATAGGCTATTTCGTAGAAACCAAACCCTTGTGAGATGCAAATGCCTGGCAGATCCCTGGGATCCCAGTTGGTTAACGGAATAGTGTCACCAATTCTGTCAAGACAGTGCTGTGATAGGGAAGAGGGCACTCATTCAGATCACTTTCATTCACTTGCCTTAAACATATCCCAAACTCAAAAAAGATTGAAATGAATTTTATTAAATAGAATACTATGATGCCACTTTGTAGCTCAAATAAGCTCAGTGATACCTCTATGTTAAAAAAGAATGCAAGGGAAACTTCCATGCAACTTGCCGAAGATGGCTTCCTTGCAAATCATTTAGTATTCTTTTCCCAAACTCCCCCCAAATGACTCAGAATATCCTAAGTAGAACAAATTAGCTCTTACTGCAAAATATTCATAAGCAAATCTCACTCCTCTTAAAATAAGGAAGCTGTGCCTGGTTCTGTGTAAATGGAACCTCAAGTAGAAAATGTTGATGAAACCGAAACCTTAAGGCAGTGTCTACACAGCCAACAAGGAGGTGGAGAATGGCAGTCATTATCGCCCAGTGTGACTGATGGGATGTAGACATTCAGTGGTTATTGTTTTAACCAAAACAGATTGCTTTAGGCCTGAGGTTTTTTAGTTTATCCATATATCGATATATGGAACATTTTTCAGATATCCCTATATGAATGAAGAAGATGTGAGGTGAGAGAATTTTTCCTTTAATTTTGTTTTTTTAATATAAGGGTATCAGAGTGGAGGATATAGATTACGCTACCTGTGTTTAAAAATAATGCGCTTTGCCTAACCTTCAGCAGAATGTATTGTTTTAGCATATTCTATGTATAAAAAGTTTAAAGATGTCTTCAAAGAAGACAAAGAGTCTTTAAGTCACTTATAGCTATATTTTACTACAAAAAAATTGTGTATAAAGATATATTTAAGTGTTTTAGACAAATTTAAGTTACTCCATATGAAATGTTTAATTTCAGCTACTGTGAATTCTTTTGATCAGACCTTTGCTCTTTTAAAAACCCTTTCCATCTTGTTAAAAAGAAAATTAGCTATTAGGTATTAAAAGATCACTTTCTTAGATGGGCAGGGTTAAAACCTTCTGTAATATATTTAAATATATTTTTAAAGAGAGATGCTACATTGCCAATGATTTTATAAATAATTTAAAATTAATTAACAAATTTATAGATGCAAACCAAAAGATTTTTTTTAAAAGAGAGAGACCAAAAAATTACCTTTTATTCGTTTGGGTCTCATTGTCAGAAGTGTTATTCAGATCAAGAAATCCATGTTCATGAAACCTGATCCCATATTGAAGAGTGAATGTATTTCTGAAATGTTTCTAAAAAATCAATATTTTAAGAATAGGGCGTTTTCTCCCTAGCTTCTCATTGCAGCGTTTCTGATTACTTCAGATTTCACGGTTTTAATACAAAGTACAAGCTCTGCTTTAATAACATGCTGTTATTCAAGTTCAAGTTTCTTTAAAAACTATTGTTACGTTCCAGTGTAACTCATCTATCTGCCTAGTCTTCTGTTATTTCTGCAGGCTCCACCCTTAATTTGCAGAGGCCATTTTGTTTTACTTGTTTGATGCGAAGGCTGTGTTTGAAATGCTTTAAACTCAAAGGCAGATTGTTTGTGTGATATGCTATAGCCTTTCACCACGTGGTGTTTACCAGCTGTTACTCTGTATTTTAAAAAGCCAGAGATTTCTTCTATCTAAACTGTTGCCATAGCATTTTCTAAACAAAAAAATGGTCTTTGCCTTGTCTCGTAATAAGATTGTAAATCTATTTCCTGCACATGTTCTTAGAAGGCATGATTGTGTGTGTGCGTGTGTGTGTGTGGGGCGCGCACGTGCGTGCCAGCCTTTTCATACTGTAACTACCTCATGGTTTGAATGGTGATTGTACTGCTGGTTCTGCTAACAGAGCACATTTTGTTGGGTGAGTCCTGTTATGTGATTATTTTTTTCCTGTTTGTTTTATCTGGGGGTTGTTCATAAAACTGACAGATGTTTTTCTAAAAAGGACTATTATCAGTTTCCAAATACAATACTCCTCTCTTCTGGTTTTTCCTGAATGAGCCTAATTTTGTTGCTGTTTTTCATCATCTATGAGGGGTACAAAGAGTACCCTTAAATTCCTGTGGCCAGTTGGAACACCCCTGCTGTATTCTTTTTTCCTGTTCAGTGTGTCAGCTATTTCGTGAACATGCTTAGATGTATAGTTTTGATAACCACAGTTTTAAGTCCTTAATCTGTGCATAATAAAAAGATATATATCAATTATTAATACATAGCTTGTTTGGTCATCATTAAATTCTACCCTTGGGCTAATATTTTTTTCGCTGTGACTTTTCTCCTGCGTGGGTCATCTGCTCCAAGCTTGCTGATGAGGAAGGAGGGGAAGGAGCAGAGGGAGGGGTGGGCAGGCCGCAGGGACAGTGCAGCAGGAGGGGGGTCTTGTCTCAAAGACACAGTAGGAGGTGTGGAAGTGGATGGCAGCCCTGGAATCCATTCCCAGGCCTCTCTTAGCCTCCAAGAGTCAAGGAAAGAATAGTATGTGTATAAGACTACTGCTTTCTTTCCTTCCATGCACACGAGCCACCTTCCAGCATTTCATATTTCAGTGTGGTACCTCTTCGGTTGCCCAAGCCAGAAACCAGTTAATCTAACTGAAGCATCTTTGGCTCCCCCAGCCTCAAAAACTATGACTCTACTTCTAGAATATCTCTTTCTCCAAACCACTGACTTACTCTTCTCTGACTGCTGTTACTTATTGTTCTTTTTTTAAAATTTTTTATTAAATCATGACTGTATACATTAATGCATGTACGGGGTACAATGTGCTGATTTTCTATACATTTGGAACGTTTACATCAAACTGGTTGACATAGCCTTCGCCTCTGCTGCTGTTCGTTGTTCTTGAGCTGAGTGCCTGCAACAGCCTCCTACCAAGGATGCCAGCTGCCCATCTTGCTCTCCCGTTATCTCCATGACACAGCCAAAGTAATCCTGAGAGAGCTCCGGGCCCGGTGGGTCACGCCTGTAATCCTAGCACTCTGGGAGGCCAAGGAGGATGGATTGAGCTCAGGAATTTGAGACCAATGGAAAAAATTAGCTGAGCAACATGGTGGGTACCTGTAGTCTCAGCTATTCCAAAGGCTGAGGCAAGAGGATCGCTCTCTTGAGCCCAAGAATCTGAGGTTGCTGTGAGCTATGGATACAGGGTTCCCCTCATTCAGGGCTGGACAGGAGACCCCAGTTTTCCTAGGTGTGGGCAAGTACATGAAGGGAACACCCTGACCTTTTGCCCCGAGCTGGAGGGACTGCATTCATTTTTTTGTCAATAATACTCATTAATGATGAAAACGTGTTTCTATTTGCCAAGTCCTGACCAAGTGTAATTCTCAAGACCTAATACCTGTAGATAAAGAACCCACGTTAGTTAGCTATTTTCCCCCGCCAGAAGCTCTGGTGCCTTTTACTTCTTCTGTATTCATCTCTAACTTCTAATAAAAATCCTGTCTTGCCACTGATCTGTGGTCTGTGGGTTCATTTCTTGAATCCCCAAGACCAAGGACCTACTGAAGAGTAAAATTCCGGTATATTTGGGGGCATTGTCCAGGACTGAAGATCTGGGGTAAGTAATGGGACCACTTCCCTCTATCCTGTTTTCTTCCATAATCATGATAACGGAGACTAATAATTTGGATTCCCAAGTGCAGCTGCTGACCTCCAGGTCACAGGCAAGAGCTGTTGGCGAATGAATTTTCTAATTCCCCTTGGCTCCAAAAAAGACCTGAAGGGAATGTTAGAAGGCTTTTGAAACTGTTCTGTATTCACTCTTTTTCTCTGGTCTAGAACTAAGCAAAGAAGTAGCACCCAGAGGCCCTGGGGTGCACAGCAATGGTTCTGATCGCAGGGCACTGGAGGGCCTTCTGAAAAGCGTGCTCTCCCAGCTCTTACTGTCTTCTCCTCTCTTCCATGGTCCCAAACTTTTCCTATTTTATCTCTACAGACCCCTGTGTGTCTCTCTCTCGCCTTGTGTTTACAGGCTTTGTTTGAATGTTCTAAAGGGTTACTTTATATAGTAGTTAAGTTTGTACCGGCTTATTCTGGTATTTTTCAGATGTTATAAGTGTGCTTTGAATGTTGTAGGTGTGTTGTAAGGTCGTTTTTAATGCCTTTCATTGCAAACTTAAATTCAATTGGCTTTCTGTGTATTGAGGAAAAAAGCTGAACCATGTTAACTAGAAGTCAGCTCCAAACAAAGAGCAAAATAACTCCCCTGTACAGCTTCCCTGGGCAACCAGAGGCCTGGAAAGGGAAGCCCAGGGCAACTCCCCAAGGCAAGGCTGGCCCTAAACCCTCAGCTAT